CTTTTATGATAATTTTTAACACCTTTCAATCCCATAGGGTAACAGCTATAGGGCAAGATTATGAGTAGCTCTAAAGCCAACAGATTAGCATAAGACTAGGTATAAAAAGCACGTGCATCAGGTGACCAGCAGGAAGGAGGGAACAGAATGGTCATTTCTGTTCCACGCCCAGACCCCGGACTTCCGGTGTGAATGAGGATCAGATCCTGATCAAGGAACCTTCCCCAGTAAACCCTCTGACAGCATCAATTGAGGACACCTGACTTCGCTGGAATCACTTGACGCGTACCTGGCATTGAGGGACTATCGATAAGTTGCCAACCCATGTCTGTCTATCTGTTGTTTTGAACAGCCCAGTGGCTAATACCCTCACAGTGCCCAATTGGCCTGCAACAGAATTGATCTATCTATCTGTTGTTATCATCTGTTATTATTATTTACTATTAGCTCTTTAATACTGCATTATATGCTTATCACATTTATCTTTCTGTTAACTGTTGTAGGTGTAAGCTATAATAAACTTGCCTTTACTTCACTCCCAACCTTGCCTCCTCGATCCGAAACTGAACAAAACAGCCCAGTTGGCCTGTGATAAAATTGATACACTCACAGTGCCCAGCTGGCCTGTGAGACCTGCCACTCCATTTCTGGCCCCACTCCATTTTCCCCCCCCCGGCACTCCGCATCTGCCTGAATGTATCATAATACATACAAAACTACAATAAAAAGACACCATATACTTCCCTTTAAGTGTATATTCTCTGATCAATATGCATTAGGATGGCATTAAGAGTAGGACAAAAAGGCCATTATATCTAAGGGGATGCTTGAATCCTAATGGACTGGCGCAGTGTCATTTACAAATAGATAAATTCCAATCTATCTCAAATTCACTTCAGAAGCATTTTCTTATTAATGCCCAACTGGCTTTAATAATGTTCATAGATCTGTTTCATTTGGTTTCTATGAACATTTATTTGAGCAATTTTTTTGTTTTTAGGAACGCTTATAAAAAGCGAACACTTGAAGAAAGTATGTATTTGCATGAAATCTCATGGTAGAAGTGTTTGCACTGCTATCTTAAAACCCCTTTCATTTCCTGAATGCTGTTTATAAATGTTTCAAACATCCAATCAGAGAGCAGAAGTAATTTTGACATTAGTGACCAAGTCATTACCATGAATTACAAAGAACAAACAGTCAAAGACAGACATAGTTGAAGCAAAGAACTTGAGTAACTCGTGAAATTGACATTTACACAAAGGGCATGTTAAACTATTTCAAATAATGAAAATTAGGACAAAAAAATAAAAATATCAAATCATTGCAAAATATTTTCCCAGTCTTAGAAAAGTCTGTGCTTTAAACTAAATAGCTTTGATCAGATTGTATCCTTTTCTAAACAAAACCCCTATGCTAAGTTGTTTTGCTGTGTACTCATTAGATTTCTTTGAATAAACATCTTGTGTGTGGGGTAGGGAGAAGGAGATGTTATTGTGCTCTCTAATTGAACACTGATGGCAAAGAGAAACAGAGTATTCAACATTCATTGCATTTAACCTAAATGAGTCAGGTTACCCAGTATTCAGAGAAAGCATTTTAATTTTAATAATACCAATGCTGACAGCTATAGTACCACTGTTGCTGAATCTGGCTTGTAAATAATTAACCGTAGTTGTATAACAACTTTTTTTTTTATATCCTTATTAATTTCATAGTCATGCTGAAGCCATTTAAAGTATAATATTTAATATAATTAAAACAAATATGTGAACAGCAATGAAAAGATAAACAACAAACATTGCCTCCCCACAACCAATTTGTGTCCCAGACACCTCTCCTATCAGAAGAGCTAACCAGGAAAAAACCACGTAGAATTGCAGGCAAAACTAAGGGAATTCCTATTCTCAGGGTGTGCAGGATCAGGTCTCTAATGCTCCAAGAGCACCAGCCAGAGGTAGCTGGAGAGTGTGGGCAGGTCTGGGCTGCTTATCCTCTACCACGTTTAAAGGAAACACATGTCCACCACAAAACACCAGCAAGAAACCATACCACCTATGTTGCAACATCAAATAAGGGGCATTTGTGCTGTAACAAGGAGCTTGGATGTCTATTTGCTTAGTCATTGTGCCACCATAAAAATATTTACACCCTAAGTGCCATCAAGGACTCACACTTAATCAATAGAAGAGGAAACAGAATTTTGCCAGTATAGTTGTTGGGAAACTTTGCCTTAGTAAGGACTGCAGGATTGGACTCAATAACTGAAAACATTACCATTTGCCATAACAAGATATATCCAACATGTTTTAGTTTTCAGAACATTTTTGGATGCTTCTTTCAGCTGCATCCAGCCTTGCAAGGGAAAGGTTACATTCTAGGAACATAACACCCATTGAAAGATTCTCACTGACTTCAGTAGGCTTTAGATCAGTCTCCTGCTCCCCTATTTATTCCTGCAAGCTATATCATGGCAACTTCCCGGTCTATAGTTGGAAAAAAGACACAACTACATAATTTAATATCTTGCTTTTACTTGGGCCAATTTACAAGAGGTGTTTCTAGACAAAGGTCAAATGCAAATAAGCCCCCATGCTGAGCGTGCTTATATTATTTCCTAGATTGAAATATATTATTCAGCGTTGAACATCAACGGGGGCTGACAGACATGGGAAAAAATGGTGCTTTACTGGAAGAGGAAGTGTGTTAGTTTGACCCAGCTTCCCAGTGTCTGTATAGATTAGGTGATTCAATCAGCTGTTAGATAAAAGCGCCAAAAAGCCCCACTCAAGTTCGCTATGTATACAGACATTGGACGAGCTGGGTCAGACTAACGCAGTGCCTCTTCTGGGTATGTGTTATGCTCGGTGTGGAAGCACACCAATCTTAAAGTAAAGCACCATTTGGGGGGGGGGTTGACCTCTGTAAGCAGCCAATGTCAGTCTAATATATCACACCATATTCATTAGTAAATCTACTTTCTAGCACCTCGTTTTTTATAATAGGTATTGTTTATGTCTGTGGGCTTTTCACTTGAAACAGCTCTTTATTACACACAAAACCTATATCCAGCTATTTACAGTAAGAGGCAATAGTTTTGCTGCAGCCCTTGCAAGTGTCTTGCAGCTGACTCCCTGTTTCCTGATCGAGAAGCTCCTCTTGACCTCACCCAGAGTCTCATGGAATAACATGCTTCCTGGACACACTGTGTGTCCAGAAGGACTTGCTGTATGCCTATACTTGATGCATTCTCCACTTTAATTCCTAGGCCAGCAATCTTTGAAAATTCTGGAAAACACTAATTTGTAGAGGCTGAACCCTGCAATCCAGACTTAGTCAAAGCTCCAGCTGAAATTGCTGTGAGATGTTTCTGTATAAAAATATAGAATTTGTCCCTTAGTCTCCAGTAAGCAAACACTTCTATAACATTTTGGAGCTGTAACTGTCCAGTCATAAGGTATATCCGTATGTGGTACTGTTCTGACAGCCTTGTCTAGTAGCAATACAAAAATCTCATTAGCGGTCTATAGGGCTTCACAAGGCTCATCTGTATCATGAAAGACAATATCTGGTATGCACCTAGGTACAGTAGAGTTAATAGAGTAAGCCAAAAGTAGAAAGTTTACATACTCCGTTTCTTTATACCAAAATCTGTTTTTAGAAAAAGTTCTAAAAGCCACTGTAGGTATATACAAGATTGTACTGCACATGGTCAGCAACTAAACTGTTGTTAAAGGACAAACTGCAAATATACTTAGCCAGTTTTTTATATAGCATTTGTGGCTCAGATTGCATTTTTAATTACCCAGCCACATAGTTTGCTGCTTGAACTCTATGTTCTACTGACTTGAGGCAATACATTTTCAGACTACATATACTGCTTCACTAATTGAGCTGCATACTTTATGAACTGTGCTAACTGAGATGCAGAAGTGAGTTGTTGATTTCTCTTATACTGTGCTGAACTGATCCAGTTTAATGAGTGGTTAGATTTGTGTTGTTTGAGATGTGTGCTTCATAAGTTCAGTTCTTACTGCTTGATGTCTTCAGGGGATTGTTATATACTTTTCCTTCTTTAAGCAAGCACCTCTCTACCATCAACCATATACATTTCCCATTTCTATCAACAAACCTTTGCTTTTCCTGTTGATGAAAGTTTAAGACAGATTTAATTGTAATATTTACAGCAGTTTTTCCAAGTGTAACACAAATGCATCTTGTATATGTATATGTGTATCACTGCCCTCTACTGGTTGTAGGTCTCCTTAGATATGTAAGATACGCTTGCCAAGTATATTCACTACTGTATTGGTTTCTAAAATGTGAGCCTACATTGCTGCTCAGGAACTAAAATCTACATGTGGTATAATAACTAATAAACTGCAGCAATTCTAGAGAAACATGATCTCTCCCTTTAGAGGTGCTCATTCATGCGCCTCTCAACTAATTGCAGGTACTAACATGCTGCTCACATATAAATATTTCTCACTGCAGCTTGAAAGCAATAGTGTTCAGAAGGAAGGAAGGATACCTTAATGTCCAAATCCTTCTCAGAACTACAGATCTCGTGATGTTATATTTTGCATTTACCTGAGGCATGAAGTTCCAGTGATCGTTATAGGAAATGTGAACATGGAACAAACCCACATTTTCATACTCAAATAACAATTGCTACATAATTCTGCAGCTCAGCATACTCCTTGAAAGACAAAAAAGCCTTCCATGAGGGAATTATCATTTGTTAAATTATCAAAAAGAATTAATAGCAACCGTTATTTGGTGGTTGGGAAAGGTGGACAGTGAAAAAAGAAAAAAGGAAAATTTACCTTGGCGAAATCACTGCTACAAAAAGAGGTTAAAAAATCATAGAATCCTAGAAATGCAGGGCTCAAGAGGTCATCTAGTCCATCCACTGTTTATCATTTCTCTTACTCCCCTTTGAATTCTCTCCAAATAAACTGTGGTGCCCAAAACTGGCCACAGTACTCAAAGCAAAACCATGCCAATGCCAAGTAGAGTCGAATAATTACCTCCCATACTCTTACATGCAAGACTCCTGTTAATATACCACAGAATGCTAACTGTCGTTTTGCTCCAGAATAGTTACTGATGTTCAGTTTGTACTCTAATATGGTCCCCAGAACCTTTACTTCACTACTGAGGCCAAGTATTCTAAATTTTGCATCTGTGCATCTGGTTGTCTTATGTTTATTGCTTTTCATTTGTCTTTCAGATTCCATCTTATTCATTCCAGAGCATTTTTCCAATTTATCAAGATCATTTTTAATTCAAAATCTATGCTCCAAAGTGCTTGCAACTTCCCCTTGGAGCCATCAACAGTTTTTGGAGGTATATTCTCTATTGCATCATCCAAGTCATTAATGAAAATAAATTGTACCAGGCCCAAAACAGATTCATTTGTGACACCAGATAATAAGTTTTATGAATCTGCCAGCTAAGTATTGATAACCTCTGAGTATGTTTTTTCAGACATTTGTCCTTAGGGTGACCATATTTCCCTATGCTGAAAATGGGACACCTGGTAAGATTTACTAGTGTTCAAGGGAGTAGTTCACTTAAATATGCAAAAATAGATAAAAATATGCAATATAGTGAAACACACATAATATGACTCCAAAGAGACTGAATGGGTTTGACTTCATGAATTAACTAATGCAGTAGATTCCCCCCTACAAGCAGCATAAACAGTCAAAGTATGTACTTACAATAAGGTAGTCATTTAATGTCTTGCTGTTCTCCAGGGTGTGAAGTTGCCAGTTGTATTTCTATGATTATGCTATTTTTGGAGGGTCTGCTTGCCTTTCAGCAGCTTGTCATAGAACTCAGTACAATCAAGATCAAAATTAACTTGCACCGATAATATAGCCTTCATGGTGACAGCATTCACACATGATTTTTCAGGAAACCACATATTGTTCATCATTGAAAAGATGCATTCAATGTGCTGCAGTGCCTAGAAAACATGAATTCCATAACCTTAGCTAGGTCTTTATACCGCCTTGTTGCCCAACTCTTGAAAAACATTTGGTCACCTTTCAGCAACAGGTGTTCTCTGACTTCCAGTCAGAAAGATGATGAGAGATGATTGATTTTGCATTGGCATTCATCAGAAAGACAATTCTTATCCAACATACTTAAGGTGGGAATCCTAGTGTGGCATGTAATGAGGCTGTCTTGTATTTTGTCCCATACCAGCATATTTCTCAGCAGACACAACTCAAGCTTTTCAGTGCACCCAAAGGCAGGTTTCTAGTACTCGAAGTAGGGCAGGCATGTTTTAAAAAAATTGTCAACTGCACTGTAAAATTTTTCTTCCTTCATTTGCCCACAATCTACAAGAGATTGCAATAGGCTTTTTGTTTCTGTTGTGACAAATCATTCTGTATACCTTTCTACAAAATTACCCTGCAGGGAACATATCTGCAGCGCAACTTTTGTCACCAACTGTCACAGGGCACCATCCCCAGGGGTGGCTGTAAATCCCTGGAGGCACACAAAATCCTCTTTTTGCCCTGCTCAGTCTGAGAACAGTCTCCCCTCTACTCACCAGCCATATCTTGAGATTCTTTATGGTTATAAGAGGGAGGCTGCCTCAGGGCTTCTCAAGCCTGATCTTGCTCTAAGCAACACCTAGTGGTGGTGGTCCTTTGCCATAAGGGCTAATTGCATGGCTCCATACCTCCCCTACACCTTGCCCCGTGCCTCGCAAATTTTGAGTCACTAATCGGATTGGACACTTGTCCTTTTGTCTCCAGGCCTTCCATCTTTTGTTGGGGTTTTAGTCTTCCCAGCTTCCACCCCTCTGCTCTGGCTGGTCCCACAGCCCAGGTCCACTGCTCTAAGCCTGGCTTCTAGGCCCCAGCCCTTACTCTGCCTTGACCCTGCCCCCAGGAGGGCCCAAGACAAGCACATGCTCCTAGGACAAAAATGGGACCTCCAAGCCACCTCTTTAGTCCTAAACCCAAGCCACCAGTCTTAACATGGAAAAATGAAGGAAACTAAGTCTCTCTCTTTCTCACTCTTTCTCTCATTTCCAGGCCTGCAGAGCTGCTTTCTTCCAGCTTCTTTGTACATTCAAGAGCTCCCCACTCAATAACACCAAGGGTTGGCCCTCCTTGACTGGCTGGATCCCAGAGCTCATATAGCTCTGGCCTGAGCCCTCTACTGGTTATGTGAGGCCCCAGTCAGCTGACCTGCCTACAAGGCTATCCTTTAACCCCTGCTCTGCTGGCTAGGCTCTAAAAACTGTGTCCTTAAAGGGGCTGCACCGCTTTCCAATAACAGAGCCAGTCTTCCCCATTACACCAACAAATCATTTTTCTTGGTTGCCTCTACAGTCTTCTGAAATGTGGCTGTTTGTTTACTGGCAAAGGAAAGGCACAATTTAGTACTAAGGTCACTGAAGACTTTCTTTAGCAGTGTCAACATTTGTCTTTAGAAAGGAAATATACTTTAAGCCCATCAAAAATGAACAAAATTCTGTCCAGCGCTGGTCCCAGTGATAGGAATCATGTGATGCCATGCTCTAGTAATTTAAAATACTCAGGACTGACAAACAGACAGAAGTCTTGCAGCTCTTGAACACATACAGTGTAAGTGTGAAACTATGTATAAACCTTTACAGCACAGCTATCCAAGTCTGTGGGAAGACAGTCAACTGCAGTTTGGAGGAAGTTATGTATAATATGAGCACCACAACAGATACCAAAAATCTTATTTCCTAGTTTTCCTTGGAGTTGTTACCACAAATTATTTCAGTATTGCTAGCATAACCAAATTAGTGTTGGTGTTATCTGCACAAATTCCAACAAGCTTGGCCCTAAGAGAGTACTTCTCAATCACTTGCTGGAGAAATGTAGACTGCACATAAGATGTTTCACCTAACAGAAAATAAAACTCCATTTTATGTTAACTCTCCTAACTGGAAGAAAATAGCGTACAAGAATAGGAAATAGCTTTTGTTCCTTTTAGTTTGATGCATCCACACTAGTGTAACAAATGAACACTTCTCCACTTCTCCATTGTGAGGTACTAGAAAAATGTGCATTAGTCTGTGTAATGGACATTCATTAACAGCACCGTTTTTAAGTGACACATTTTAATGCATATTAACTAAACAGCATTTTGTCAGTGGTGCTTTAATGTGCATTAAAATAGGCTAATGCACATTAAAGCACACATGTAGACATGCCCTAATATGTTGCAAGTTATTGCTCCAGATTTTGTATGAGTGGATGACAATTTAAGTTGGCAGTGTTTCTTAATTAACTGTGATGTATAGTCACTTGGCCTGAAACTGTGCCATGATGCACAGAATGGTAAGCAAACCCTCCCTCACTAGCAAAAATTTGATCGGCTTCTGTGTTTTGCTTTAAAAATTCTGAAACGCTTGGAATTGTACACTTCTTTCAGCCTCTATAGACAAGTGGTATCAGAACCCAAGGTATTTTCTCGTGGGAAGAATGAGCTAGATGATTTTAAAATACTGTTTATGGTCTTGTTCATTTTTTAATTAAATAAGAAAAAAATAATTCCTCATTTAATTGAAATTTTAGACACTAATGAGGAAAATGATTTGGCTAGACAAATCAGTGCTAAACAAATCAGACTAGCACTTTCAAAAATATATGGTATTTTACTCACATTTAATCTTACTTTTGAAAGACACAAACTTACCACAAAACACCTACTGTACCTGGGGAACTCAGTACAGTAACAATTATAATAATTTAATAATCATATAACAGACTGGTTTTTCTTTCTTTAGGACCCACCCATGGAGCAATGGAGATATTCAGTTCTGAGGTTAGGAGCTGGACTTCCAATCTAGTCCAACTGAGTTTAACCATACAGGTCAATTTTTCCTTCTACTCAAACCAGATTACCCTTCTACTCTTCACTTAGCAGGAAGTAAATCTCTTGTTCCTCTGTGTGGTTGGAAGGAATTATGATGAAGGATAAGAGACAAAAATATACAAAGGACATCAAGGATATAAAGATCTTTCAGGAAAGCTAATAGATGGTCTCTTGCTCTATACCAGAAAATGATTCAAGCTTAAATTCAACTATGTAAGCAACAGATACAGAATTCGATGCTATTCACGTGCCTGATCAAAGACCTTTGAAATCGATGGGAGTGTATGGGCACTTAATCAAGACCCACCTGGCTAAACTGAATTACATGTTTACATGCTTCACTGGGTCAGGACTGTAGGACTCATCACCGGTCAAATCAGACCCTATGACAACAAAAATAGGAATTAAAGGTCAAGTTAATTTGTAATGCATCTAGTTGCAATCTCACTTAAGTCAAACCGTGATTTTGGTCCACTGATGTCAGCGTACCATTGTAAGTGTCAGGAGACCCTGGTTTAGGATTTTCAGGGTTAAACCAGATGAAATAGTATTTTGAACAGGACATGTAAATCTCTTGGGGTTTAAACCAATTGTCCAAATTCCACATTCTTATTCACACCTGCCATTCTTGCTCAAGAGCTCTTTTGTCTACTTGGTCCAACAAGCGTTGTAGCTCTAAGGTGAGCTTTGACAGCTGACAGGATAGATATGAATGACACCTAAATCATCAAAGTAATTTCTAATATCATGTCTATTTTCTCAGTCATATAAACACAAAACGTATTTATTATAAAAATATCAACTTTTCACCTGGAGAAAAATAGATTACATAGTCATGATTTTGCCTTTAAAAATAAGAAATGCCCACTATGTGCACCACATCTTATTGAGACTGGTAATGTCAACTGAATTCCTCTATGCAAACACAGAAACTGGAGACATTTTATTTTCTAATATCAAGGCAACAAGGAAATAAATGGTAACACTTAAACTAATGTATTATTTATTCTGTTACATGACAATGGAACAAAAATGCATCCATAAATATGTAATGTTGTACACCACTCTTTCCTTTTCTTAAAATGAAGTTTACATTTATAAAATAATTGGCTCTCACCAGATCATCTTATCTCCATACTTTTTTAAGGAGATTCTAGGAGTTGCAGTTCACAACTTAAAAAATGGATGCTAACTTCTCTAACAAATTCCAGTAGGTTGCCTGAAAAACGTATGAATCTCAATCTTTTTCTCATGACAAGAGATGTACTAAGCCCAGCTAATATTTTAAGTAGTGCATCATACACGAGATGTTGTAATGTTCCTCTTTTCTTTATAGTCGCTTCTAGTTTTCCAAGACTGTGAGCAGTAGGTTTGTTAGACACAAAGAGAAGGCTCAGTCAATTCTGCAGCAAACATCTTCAGCTGGTTTCCATGAGAGGAGTCAGAAACTACATTTTAACTGTGATCTGCCA